TAGAGCCTTTGGCATCTTGAATTGGTAGCCTCAGCTATTAAAGCCTCATCTATGCTACTAGCCCTGTATTTCATATCTACTTTTAAAAAAATTATTTATTGTCACCGGGAAGTTTCTATACAAATGGGACATTTGTCATAAATTTAAGGATGGTTGGAGGTGTTTGTTGCTCATGGTTTTTCAGTAGCTCATAAGAGATTTTTGAAGGAAAGGAAGTTCCTGAAGTTCATCTATGTGTTCTGCAGGTGTAAATTTGGGCACCTATTTGTAGGTGTGGAAGGTATGAAAATGGTGTAGATTCATCTGTGTGGTCCTTAGATCCAGAAACAGCCCATAGAAGACTCATGGGGAGCACAAAGGAGGAGTACTGATGGTAATCATGGCAGCATTGTAATGTCCTTCTTGTAGGAGCTCAGGGCACTTCACTTTAAGGAAACAAGCACAATTTGTATATGAAAGCAGGGAGAATGGAAACTAGACAATTAACAAAGAAAGAGAGAGGGCCAGGGATTTAGCTCAGTGGTTCCATTGCCTGCCTCACAAGCACAAGGTCCAGAGTTCGATTGCCAGTACCAAAACAACAACAATGAAAAGCAAAGGGAGAAAGCAATCTTCCTTATCATTGTCATATTTCTTGCTTATTCATTCCTGTATTCTTGTTCATCTTAGGGCACTGAAATCTGAGAACCAGACCCATGAGTTAACATTTTAACCTTCACAGCTATTCCAGGTCTCCCCATTAGAGATTGAGCTCTAGTTTCCATGTGTGCCCCCAAAATGTTAGTACGTATTTCTGACGTTGATGAGAATAATGTATTTGTAGATTTCCTTGACAGAATCTGCTTTCTCTTTACTTCAAAATAACTGTTAGCGGGTCGGGGATTTAGCTCAGTGGTTCTGCCGCCTACCTTGCAAGTGGAAGGTCCCAAGTTCGATCCCCGGTACAAAAAAAAAAAAACTGTTAGGAAAACCTATGGGGTTCTATTAGACATTTCAGGAGCATTTAAGTGAATTTCATTTCTTTATTGTTTTACTTTAACATGGAGATGTTGGTGAAGAAGGGGTTAAATTGAGTAAAGTCATGAGCCTTACTAATAAACGACTTACAAATAATAAATGTAGATTTTTTTCTGCTACCATTGTAGGTCTTTGAATTTGTTTTCAACTCAGTATGTGAGTTTTAACAACTCAAAATATTTGCCTTTCTAAAATGCTAGCTTGATCTGGAGAGATTTCCCTTGTCAAATTATAACCTACATTTTTTTAGTCTCCTTTGGCTCTAATCTGTCTTCCCAGTTTATCTCTTGTGTTCTTCCCAGTCATATCCTGCAACCTGGAAATAGCAGGCTGTGTGAGATTCCTAGACTCATCACGTTTCACATTTGTCTTCAAATGTTGTCACTCTTCTGCCTGTCTTACCCAAGATTGTCAACTGAGGAATTGATCTTCTCCTAATGTCTGTCTCTTAGGACCTGCTTTGTCAGCCTCCCAGACTCACCAGCTTCTTATCCAGTGCTCCATATGCCTTCTCTGCTGTGGCCTGTGGTACTCATCTCACTGTAGTTGGCTGTTGGTATCTTTTTTTGGCTTCTTATTACCTTCAGGATGGACTGAATTCACCTTTGCTTGTCACTCAGCAGCAACTCTGCCAAATTATTCCCAAAGGGCTGCTATTGATATTTGTTTGTTTCCATTATAAAATAGAACCAAACTTAAAATGAGGTAGTGGACATGATTATTTGTCCATAATTCTATAATAGCCTGTCCTAGTGTTTAATTTTTGCCTTTTCAATCTTTTTTTTCTGCATTTTATTTAGTTGTGTAGTGCATTATCCTATTTATCATGCTTTAAAAAATATAATGTAAATTTTTTATTTGTTTCTGCCTGATCTTTATAGTTCTCATCTTTAATGGTTCTTTTTAAAGTTTTACTGGTTGGATAGTTTACTTATACATTTGTTTACATTTGGATATTTAGTGTTTTTCTCCTAACTTTTAATACTTATGGCTGTAGTAATGGTAGATTGAATACATTTAGAAGTTAAGAATGCCAGAATGCAGGGAAAAGAGTCAAGAATTGAATTCAGAAGTTCTTGGTGCCAACTGGGCTCTGAGTCCTTTGTGCAGCTTTGGACTTTGAGCACTGTGGGGACCTTTTCATCTGTAGTGAGTGAGAGCTGTGGCAAGGATTCTTGCAAGGACTAAATGAAATCCAACTAGGGGAAGTAAATTTGTGGGATCCTTAATGTGGGGGAGGCACTGAAATACTATATGCTATTTCATTGGATTCTTGAAGTAGCCTTATAAGACCAGCTGAAAGGGACTTTCAGCTTGCTCCAGGTCATATAGTAAGTGCTCAGATCCAAACCCAGTTATGTTCTTAGCAATGATTTGTCTTTGTTTATTTTTACACAACACAGACTTCTTCAATTTATTTAGCAAAATCAGTCATTTTAAATAACACATTAGTGCTCTAACATCATGAAATGATATTTCTTTTTAGGGATGAACATGTTTTTCTGACAAGCTAACAGTAAAAGTTATCAGTGTTCCAAGGTCTTTCAGTTGTATGCCACCAATTTATGACACATATAATAATCAGTCAGCTTGATTATCATTTTCAGCTGTCCCTGGCTTCCTGATCTTCATGAAGCCTTAATCATAAGACAGAGCCTAAAGTTCTAAGGTTAATATTCGATTTAGATTTTAATGCATGACTCTTCAATTGTACATGCAAAGCAGCCAACATACACTAAGCTCCTGTGTTGTTTCAGATAGTTTTTTACTGGCCTGCATCATGGACCTGACTCAATTTCTTTTTCTTATAAAGTTACAAATCCCTAAATACTCTATAGTCCTTTGTCCTGAAGATTCCTGGAGAGATGTCTCAGCCAGTGAATCATTTCTGTGAAATAATACGAAAGGGCAATTCTAAGGTCTTCTTACTAAGGAATATTCAGAGAAAAAAAGCATTTAGAAAAAGATGAGCATATTGAGCTATTCAGAATATTTTTATTATTGACCAGTATTTCATAAAACTTCTCAAATCTCTGATAAAGAATAAGGAATTCAGTTGTTAAAACCTGACTTCAAGATAGTGATATTGGCACAAGACAAGCAAAAGATTTAATGCCACAGTATTGGAAATAGCCACCGTCCCGTATGAGGTTGAATGGAAGGGAACATCATTGAGAGTGGACCTATGTAAAAAATTGGGCTTGATTGCCTCCCAGGGGCTATGTATTTCTAAGGGATGGAGAGTTACAGAGCTAAGAAAGAGGCAATGTGGTCCTTCCTCCAGGCTACCTGTATCTCTTGGCTTACAGTCCCTTCCTCCATGTTCTAAGCCAGACGTGTAGCATCTTCAAATGTCTATGATCTCCTAGTTGGCTGTTTTTTTCCACTTATACAGACACTTGTGATTACTTTGGGCCCACCTGGATGATCCGGGATACTCTCTTCATCTCAAAGTCGGTTGATTAGCAACCTTAAATCCATTTGCAATCTTAGTTCCCCCTAGACAGGCAGGTTCTGGGGATTAAAACATGAACATTTTAGGGACATAGTGCATTATTTTGCTTGCAGTACTTGGCAAGCAAGATGAGTGAATGAATGATGAATTCATATAAGCTGTCAGAAATGGGAACCAGTATTGTGCCAGCCACAATAGGCAGAAAAGAATAACAAATGTCTCTGACCTCAAGGAATTGAGGATCAGTGGCATTAGGGTTGTGGGAGATTTTTGAGAGTCCTCCATCTCTCCCTTTAACTCTTAGATAAGCTTTTCTCTGCCATATCAGATTTAGATCAAATTGCTTATTTTGTGCTCTCAGTGTATCTTCCCCCAACACAGAAAGTTTGGAGAATGTTTAAATAAAACTTATTATAGTAAAAGACACATTGCCAAGAGTGAGGGATAAATGTGTTTAAAGCAAGGGGGAGTATTTTGAGTATTTGAAGGGGGATTAATGGCAATGTATTTTTACTATAATAAATTTTTAATTTTAAGTATTCACTGTGTCTTTTGATCACATCAAATAAATGTTTGTGGCATTTTCTGTTAAAAACATTACAATATGTCCTCATCTTATTCAGTACATCTGGCACTGTGACTTCTGGCTCTTCCCCAAAGTCAAAATGACCAAGAAAGGTAAATGTTTTGAATAGACTGAGGTCATCAAGGTAGCCGCAACAGTATAACTACACATGACCTAAAAAACTGCTTTGGAAAGTGGCAAGAACTATGGAATAAGTGTGCTTCAAGCAAGAGGGAGTATCTTAAGGGGGATTAATGGTAATATGGTCTTTTACTATAATAATATTTTTCTTTTGAGACAGGGTCTCGCTATGCAGTTCAGGCTGGCCTTGAACTCACTATGTAGCTCAGGCTGTCCTCAAACTCATGGCAATTCTCTTGCCTTAGCCTCCTGAGTGCTGGGATTACACGCATGAGCCACCACACCCAGCTTATAATAAATTTTTAAATTTTAAATATTAATCATATTTTCTGATCACATCTTGTACGTCATCACACTTGTAATGCTATTTCAATGAATTCTCTCTACTAAATTTTATGAGTAACAAAGGCAATAAAATATATCTTTTATTTCTCAACGTGCAGTGTTGGACAGAGGGCCTGGTGTATAGTACATATTCAAAAACTTGTTGAAAACAATTAAGGAGTGTGAAGACTGAAAATTGAAGTGTTGAAACCACCTACTACTTTTTCTGCCCTGGCACTTTGTAACCTGGGACTGTGGGCTTTCTGACATGGCACAGGAAGTGGGGAAAGCAGGTGTATGTACTCCTCTCCTCCCACTGAGGAGCAGGGAGCATTTAACAGATCCTCAAGCAGATCATAATCAAGAAGAGATTAGGAAGTACTGTTCCAAGACAAGATAGTCTGGTCATGGTACAGAGGAGGAGTATACTGTACTGTCCCAGGAAAGACAGATTTCTCTCTAACACTGACTGAGCTTTTGTATTCTACGTGTCTCCAGGAGAAGAGAATGTGCTGCCTCTGCTGACACAGGACTCCAATTCCAAAGCTCGGAGGGGCATTTTAAGGAGAGCTGTGTTTTCGGAGGACCAGAGAAAGGCTCTGGAAAAGATGTTTCAGAAGCAGAAATACATCAGCAAAACAGACCGAAAGAAACTTGCCATCAACTTGGGACTAAAGGAATCACAGGTACTAATTACTAGGAAGATGTCTCCTGCTCCTTACTTTAGAAGTAATACAATGGAATCCATTAATTTGGCAAATATTTCTTGTGCTGAGCCTGGTGCTGGACCCTGTGATGTTCTTGCAATGTTTTCTATAATTTTTAGTGGGTGGAAATATATCTGATAATTCCTATTTGGAAGTAGATCTATTTGCTAAGAGGTCTTGGTTTTTGCCTTTGGGCCAATTAAGTTATCCAAAATGAAGAAAAATGATAAAGATGTAAAATTTAAATCATAGTGGGTTTTTGGTGTTTTGTTTGTTTATTTTTTTCTCCATATTCAGAGAAGCAGGCCAAATAATTTCCTTCAGATGCAGGAACCAATTTTCCTGACTTTTCTTCATTTTCAATCCAAAATCAAAGCATGAATAAGTGGTACCTTTAAATGGGATTCACTATTTTGCACTGTGGATTTATGCCATGTATAGTTAAGTCATTTCACATTTGCAACACTTACCTTTCTTGTTGCTGAATATTTCATATAATTGAGAATGAGACTTTCTGGCTTTTTGATGACTCACAATATAAATAATAATATATAAGGCACTAACATTTTCCTATTTAATCCTCCTTGTAGTCACCATGCACTATAATTAGGCCCATTTTCTAGATGAAGTCCTGTAGAGAAAAGAACACAAGTCCAGTGTCGTATATAGCAAAGTTGTTTGAGAGCTGGATTCTCATTCCAGGAGCTTGACTCTGGGGCTTGTGTCTTCCTTAACCTAGAGCCACCATATACAGTAGTGCAGGGTGCCCACTGTACAAGGAAGGGCATCTAGCCAAAGGTGATGATAGTTGTCAAAAGGGAGCTGGTACTCTGCTTGTCAAGCTGGGTTTCTTGGTATAGCTTACATTCACCTGAAATTTCTAATTAGCATAAAACAACAGAAGGGCTAGCGGAGACTCTGTCTTAACCATGTCCTTGCTTTTTAACTTTGGACCTTATTAAAACCAGTTATTATTGTGAGAATCTCTTCTTAACCTTTCTTCCTTTCCATAGGGAAATGATCTGTCTACACCACCCACCTCCCCACCTTCAGTTCTTTGGGTAGTAGGATGCAGTGTGTGGTGTGGTGGAGGGTAATTGATCTAGATCGTCTGCTCTCATTGCTCTCTGGTACTAATAAGCCCATGTGCTTAACTGGTTGGTTGCACCGTGCCTCAGTTTCTCACTTAAAAGAACAAGAACAATTATTGGCATTATGTCCCTGTTATATATGCAATTTTGTGTATATAACAGATAAATCAGTAGTTATTTTCTGATGGTCTGTGGTGTGCAAAACACCATACTAGGTGGGCAGTAAGAGAATATATTGATAAATGTTGAGGAATTCACACTCTTTGCACCCCAGTAACTTACACACCCAGTGGAAACTCATTAAAAGTTTGATAACAGCATATGATCATATACTAATATAAGGGGTATTGCCTGGCAGGTTTGATACTCTGTCCAGTAAGGGTGACTGGATCCTTATGTTAGTCCATCTCTGGAGAGAATAGCATTATGAATGGTCCACACACTGCTAGGAAGCCTGGTGGTAGAACTTCCTGATCCTTAGAAGAGCTGTTGGGGCACAGTGAGGATGATGAATCCCACAGATATGGATAAGAAGCCACAAAGTTGGGGAAAAAAGGGCAGGTTTCAGAGGTTGGGGAGCCTTATAACTTGAAGTAGAAGTTGAAAGATGAAAAGTAGCTAGGTTCCATCTGTCAGTGCTCTAAGAAGATATGAAAAACAATCTCTCTCTCTCTCTCTCTCTCTCTATGTATATATATATATATATATAGTGTGTGTGTGTGTGTGTCTATAAAGCCACTCTTGAAAAGCAAATGCATAACTATATTTTAATAAAAGTTGTGGGGAGATGATCATAATCTCCTCATTCAAAGAAATCCAGTGATTTTCTTATTTGCTAACTTTTGGTTCTTGTGTATAAGGCACATATATTGGCTTTAAAATCAAATGCCATAGAATGAGTGCTTTTTTGTTATACTGAATTTTGTGGAACATTTCAGAAGTAAGTAAGCATTTTATTATTTCCATTTTATCAGTTACATGATTAGTACATGATATCTGTTGTGGCAAACTGAAACAAAAATAAAATTGGTAAAATTAAAAATGAAAACTTATGTTACCTCTTTCCAATTCAATGCCTTGTTTGCTACTGTTGTTTATAAGTGTCTCATTTGAATTTATTGAAGCATAATGTATTATTTAAAAAATACATTTATATATGGGTTGTATATGCACAACCACAATAATGCACACACTTAATGCTTACTATGTGGACTTATGTTGGATGCAAAGATCCTATGAGATACTTTTATTACCCCTATTTTATAAATGAAGAAGCTGAGACTCAGAATTGTATGTATATACTTTAAAATAATGGGGTCATACTGTGCATATATTTTGGCTTTTCTTGAATGCTAAAATTAATCTGTATAATTATACTCAGTGCACTCATACAAGAGTAGAAGCCAGAATCTTCCTAAAGATCACCTCCTAGCTATTAGCTAGTCCATCATTCTGACTTTTAACTATATAGGTTATGTTTCCTGTTTTGTGCTTTTATTAGTTGAATCATTCAGAATATATTCTTTTGTGTATGGCTTCTATTACTTAAATTATATTTGTGATATCCTTCATGTTGCATGTGGCAATAAGATCATTTTTACTCATGGCTGTGTCATATTACCATTACATGGTCTAACACAATCCATTCTACTGATGGTGGGCATATGTATTGTTCCCATTTCAGGCAATTATGAATAATGCTGCTGACAGTGCATATTGTTTTGTACTTTGTTTCCCCCATTCAAATATTATGGAATGCATTCTTCCATGTCAGTACATATTAATCTACTTCATTCTTTTTTTGTGTGTCTCATTATAGATCCTTGTATAGCTGTATCATAAGTAATTTAGCCACTCTCAACTTGGCGTTACTTCCAATTTTTACTACTGAATTTCTTTCTTATTTCTTTTTCTTAAATTCTTTCATTGGTACATTTTAGGTATACAGTACGTTTACATTTATCATTGGATGCTTGTACCTGTACATGATGTATCTTGGTTCTTATTTTTTCCCCATTACCTGTGCACCCTTCACCCCCTCTACTATTTATATAGACTTTGTTTCCATTTGAGGGTCTCATTGTGTAGCCGAGGCTGACCTTGAACTCTTGGTGCTTCTTGTGCCTCAGCCTCCCAAAGTTCTGGAATTACAGGCATGGACCACCACATCTGGCCTACTATTGAATTTCTTTGTTCTCTTTTAAAATATTTTTGTAAGATTGGGAACCAGGAGTGGGATTTACATGTTAAGATGTATGTATATTTTAAATAGTGATAGATTAAAAATTTCTTTCCAAAAATAATACTGAGTTGTATACTGAGTTATATAAAATTTTCACTCTTATTAACAAATAGTAACTTCCTGCAAACTCTTCACCACTTATCATTTTTTTAAAAAGCTGCCAATGTGGGGTTTGGTGGCACACTTCTTGTAATCCCAGAACTTGGGAGGCTAAGGAAGGAAGATTGCTATGAATCTGAGGCCAACCTGAGCTACATAGTGAGTTCAAGGCCAGCTTGAACTACATAGTGAGACCTTCTCAAGAAAATAAAACAAAACAAAACATTGCCAACTTTTTGGGCAATGGTATTGGCTATTTTAGGAAACTAAAGGGCTTTTAATCATTTTAATGGCCATTTGTAGTCTGTAAAATGGCCTCATGGATGCAATATTTTTCTGCCATATTGTCTTTCTGTTGATATATAGCAGCATTTTGGATGTTAATCAAAATATTTGAAATATTATGGCAAGTTAAATTTTCCTGTTACAGATATTGAAAAAAATCCTAAGTTTTGGGGTGTATATATGTATATATATATACAGGTAGGTATATATATACATACCTATATATATATATGTGTGTGTGTGTGTGTGTGTGTATATATATATATATATAGCATAACATTTACCTTTTTAACCTGTTTTGAAAGTGTTCAGTTCAGTGACATTAAATACATTCACTTTGTTGTGCAGCCATTACCACTATTCACCTCTAGAACTTTTTCATCTTATAAAATAAAAAGTCTGTATCATAAAAACAGTAATTTATTTCCCCCTCCTCTTTACCCCTAACAACTACCATTGTATTTTGTGTTTCTGTGAATTCCTTCTCTAAGTAAATCTCATATGAGTAAAATCACAGCATTTATCTTTTTATGATTGTCTTATTTCACTTAGCATATCTTCAAAGTTCATTTATCTAGTAGCATGAGTCAAGATTTACTTCCTGTCTAAGACTGAGTAACAGTCCATTGTATGACTATACCACATTTTGTTTAACCATTCATCTGTTGATGGATATATGATTGTGTCCACTGTTTTGCTCTTGCAAATAATGCTGCTCCGACTTTAGCTGAACAAATATCTCTGCCTCCATGTTTTTATTATTTTAAGTATTTTGTAACTTTTTCATGTTTATATTATCCATGTTTCTACAGAAATTTCTCATTTTTATACAGTCAGCTCTGTCCTTTTCTTCATGGCCTCAGTGTTTGATGACATGAGTAAGAAAACTGTTGTCTCCATCAAAATATAATGATGATCTCTTCTATTTTCTTCTAAAACTTTTATTGTTTTGTTTTCCTGGTTAGCTACTTAATCTATCTGAAATCTTGTGATGGAAACCCATTAGAAATATTTGACATGCTTTAAATGCCCATTGCAGATAATAAATGAGTTCATGAATAGAACCAAATGCACTTTATAGCTGTTTTATTATAAAAATCCTTAATCACAGGAACATAACTGGGACAGCAGTCTTTCACACTTATTTGCCTGAGGTAGATATCTTTTTCAGTCATTCTGAAGATTTGACAGTTAGATTGAAAGAATGAGGAAATTGTTTCATTAATCTGGGAGGGCCCATTTCTGAACTTTTTCCTTCACTTGGTTGATATACTGTAATAATTATTTAGGTAAAAATTTTTCCAGTTTCTTTTAGTAGAAATTAAATTATTAGTTAAGGATGTATTGTAATATACAAGAAAAGAATGTGATTGGCTCTCAGGGGATCAGAAAGTTAACTGGGAAGTTTGCTGCTCAGGGACCATTGAGTACGTAGTGGATTATAAGAGAGTGGCTGGGTGCTTTGGGAGAAGGTATGATTCAAATCAGGAACCACCATCATAAGTATTTTTGACCTAAATACAATTTATTTTTATTTATTGAGCCTAATTACCATAGTTTGGTAAATCCTGGGATTGATCTAAACTTGGGACCTGTATAAAGCTTATAACTTATCAAACCATTATAAAATATATATTTAATTTAGTTTTAAAAAGTTCCTGATGAGGTCTGCACACTTACAAGAGTCTGGGCCCAGAGGTTGGACGGTCATGGATTCTAGTCTAAATGCTTTCATTTACTAGCTTATATGACCTTGAGCTGGTTAATTTTTCTAAACCTAGGATTTTTTACATGTGAAATGAGGTTTTTTTTGGTACCGGGGATCAAACTTGGGACCTTGCGCTTGCAAGTCAAGCGGCAGCACCACTGAGCTAAATCCCCGGCCTGAAGACTTCTTATAATCACTGTGAGGGTCAAATTATAAATCCATCTAGAATATATTGCCTGATTCTTGGCACAAAATAAATTCTCAGCTACTCTTACTAGTAGATACATGTCCTTTGAATAAATGACTTAGAACAGAATAAATGATATTTCAAAATACCTAAGAAAGGTAAATCAGTTTTGAAAGGCATCAGACTTAAAGAATGTAACCAGTTTACCACAGTTGCTTTGTTTTAGAAGAGTGTGTGTGTGTGTGTGTGTGATATTATATTACTTTCTCAGATATTTCTGGTATCCATGTCAAGAGCTGCAGGTCTTTTCCAGGTTGGAACTTAAGTAAGATATTCTGTAGACAGGATAGTAGAAGCAGTTGAAATTTAAAATGCTAAAATAAACTGCTGAGGGGTACAGCTAGGATAGAGCACTTGCCAAGCATGGAGTGAGGCACTGGGTTTGATCCCCAGAACCATAAAAAAAAATAAAATGCTAAAGTGAAATGACCTGGAATAAGTGATTATTTTGTGCAATTATTTTATCAATAGGTGAAAATTTGGTTTCAGAACAGAAGGATGAAGTGGCGGAACTCCAAAGAAAAGGAAGTGCTTTCCAACAGGTGTATCCCAGAAGTAAGCCTTCAAGAGGATCCCCTCTCACGATCTGCTCTGAGTTTCACTTCTCCATGCCCTTCAGTATGGGAAATCTCCCAACAGCACTCAAGCCCAAGATGGGGGGAGAATTCTCCAAAACCTGCAGAAAGACTAATCCAGGAGAGTTCACAGGCACTGCCACCAAAAGAAAATTCACTGCAGGGTGCCTTGTATTTGTGCTCTGAGGAAGAAGTTGGAGACAAAGGTGTACTTACTGCAGCTGTCTGAATGGAAGCATTCTTCCAAGTTAATTTAAAAGAACATACAGCCAATAATGTCTGGACTCTAAAGCCAGTTAACCTGTGCCTCACCGATATCTAAAACCTAACAGCTTTGAAATGATGCATGAACTAATGCTTTGGGAAATCTACTTCAGTGTTCTCTTATTTAGCCCTAGACTCAGGCTTAATTTGTTAGTGGAATAGAATCTCCCAGGAAATACAGTACGTTGGGACTGAAAAGAATAAGAGGAAGCTTTGGCTCAGGCCCTGCTCTGAGTATATGTATATATGTGTGTGTGTCTCTTTCTTTGTGTATATGTATGTAAATATTCATTAAAATACGTTAGTAGAAACTAGTCTCTCTTTAAATATTGCATTGAGAATATTCATTTTCTTTTTTATGAAGAAAAACCATTGATAATATGTTATTTTTTTAAATAATGTAAAATTTGGACTTTAGTTCATATTTTCATACCACAAGAATATGTTTAAAAAGATTCTCCATTTTCTGGTTTCTTTTGGTATCCATCTTCAGTGAGTTTTAACAGCTCAGGAATCCTAAACACAGTTAGCCACAGTTAGATACATACACAGAATACGTATATTTTAAAATAGTCCCAAGAAGAAAATTAGAATTTCTGAATGTAACTGATATTTTTAATTTCCAAGTCTCAGGACTGAATGAGGCCATCAGTGAGGGTGTTACCTATTTTGATCTCTGTGTAGGAATAGGCCTACAGAGTTAGCAAAGTTAAATAAATTCCTTTAAGGGCCTATCAGATAAATAGAGGTCATGGCTCACTAAAGATAGATGTTTGAGTTTAGTGATTTTTCAGATATGGTATTGGCCAAACAACATCTGTGCCAAGTAGTTTGGGACCTCTGGCTAAGAATAAAGAAAGCCGTGATGTCACAGTCCTTAAAGTGTTCCCAGTTGAACTTCCAAACACAATACTGATGGAATCTAGGATGACTTCTGTTTGTACTTCTACTTGCAGGCTCAGTTTTCTATGTAGTTGACATACACTGCATATGCATACATCTATCTATCTATCTATATACATGTAGGTGTATATAGAGTTATTTTATATATGAACAAACACCTCACAGATGGTTTATGTTTTTTGACTGAAATAGTATTTTAGTAAAACTACATTTCTGTAACAATTTGCTTAGTTAATCCAGAAATAAATCCAAGTCCAAGAAAAAAAATTACATTTCACTTTGAAGGAAATGAAGCAGAAAAAGGAAATGATGTGGTTTTGAATTAAGATGTCATTAATCTGTGGACAAGAAACATTACCAGAAGTTCATTATATGGCATTTTGTTAGCAAGCTGTGTGGTGAGGGTGGCTCCTAATTTGCTTACCTGTTCAGCCATAGACTTTGAAGCTTTGGTGTTTAGAAAAAGTAGTATTTCAGAGGATAATTGTTTTAATCAGTATCAGGAAATTATTTTTATGAGTGGAATTTGAAATGGTGTATGTTAACCGGTGTCAATCACATGATCCTTTTACTTAAAAAGTCATCTTAGAAGTGTGTTTTAGCTCCTCATGGGGAGTGGGAGTAGGAATCTGCTGACAATTTAAATTTTAAAAGCCATTTTAAAATGACTTTCAATACTCTTTTTCTCTATAAATGTGCACAGTGGATTAACTCAGTCCCCACAGCAGTAACCCTGTGATGTGCAAAATATATGTTACTGTCAGGATTCTTGTTACTTAGATAATATAGTAGAGGGAGAGTGTAGTTGGGCAGATTTTCCAAGGTCATGAGGTTAATAAATGGGATTTGGACCTTGTCAAGTTTCAAATCTTGAAATCTTACCAACCTGTGGCATGCATAGCACTGTGGAATGTACTCAGGTAGCTATGAGATGCCTTATAAGATGCACTTTGGGAATTGCACTGAGATTTACTAAAGAAATTAAAAAGCGTGTTATATTTTACATTCTTGTAATTGAGGGATTTTTCCTCTTCAATATTTTCTATGAGATTTCTGAAGTTTAAGGAAAGCAAGGAATTACAAGTCTTCAGCTATGAAGCCATAAACAGCAGTAAATTGTTAAGGGCTTGTCTGTGGTAGGTGTTTTTTGATAATAACTTAAAACTTGAATGAGAGAAGCCTGTCAAGGCCATCTGATTACCCAGGTTGGAGAAATGGGCTAATTTGTTATAATTGTTTAAATGACCTGTCAGGAAAATATATACTAGCATGTTTGTTGTCACCTTTCTAGACAAATAGTGCTCTAATTAATTTAGCACCAGGACCATAGAATGCTGGAGGTCAAAACATTTCAAATTTTTCAAAAGAAATTGTCAAATGGATCTTAAGCAGATAAGAAAATACATGATGAGCATTAATTCTTAAGTCTTTGTAAATATTTAGGGTTGGGAATATATAAACAGGTTAGGGATGATCCTCTGGAGACAATGAAGACTATGATCATTCATGTCTAAAGGGTGGTCTACTTTCTTCGTAATAAGGTGGCTTTAATGAGAAACCCACTTATTTGATCCAGTGGTTCTCAGACTTTAAGAATCCATACACATGATGATGCCATGCCTTCCAGAAAATTTTGGATATGAACACATATTTAGACACTCCTTCAACACCCATGCCTCCCACCCCAACCCTGAGAATCAGTACACTTACCTTTTTTACTTTTCAAATACAAAATCATAAATATGCTTGTCCAATCCACACTTGTTCTTTTTTTTTCTTTTTTTTGTAGTAGGGATTGAACTCGGGACCTTCTGCTTCAAGGCAGGCAGTGGAACCACTGGGCTAAATCCCTAGCTGTCCATACTTGTTCTTTCTGGCCCCTTTCACTTCCCTTTATGATGCTTCCTTTTAAAAGCTATGTACTCCCTACTCCCTGTTGTGCAACACGACCCAGCCATCGCTTGGTGGCCTGCAACTCCATTCAGCCATGTTAGCCATTAGCATAAGGAAGCTTATACCACTGTGTTCCTAAGCTTGTCAGACACAGCATCTGTAACTATGTGAACTCTCACAAAATATTTTTTTCTTTCTAAATTTCAACACTTATTGGGCACTCTGTATGAAGCAGTGTTCTAACCTGTATGTCAGCAAATGTGAGAAGAACATAGGCCTTGCTCTCAAGGAGCTTATAAATTAGTCTTCTTACAAAACAACTTTTGAAATATTCCATGTTGTTGTTGTTGGGATCCTGTGAATTTGCGGCAAAACATCTCACATCCTCCAAAAACTCCAGCTCTCCATTTGGAGCGGGAGATTTCTTAAATTCTGTGCTATTCAGACAGTACAAACTACTCAGCATTTCTTGTTTTCTATGCTGTCCTTCCTCCTGGCCAGAGTGCTCCCAAGAGGAGGCAAGAATGTGGTAGCTTTTGTTCACAGTGCATCCTGGCTGCTTTTTTCTATCTTCTCAGCCTCAGAGGAAGAGAGAAGAAAAAGCAAATTAATGCAAGTAGGGGAAATCAGCATAATGAGTGTTTTTGAATGCACAAGGAAAAGGTTGCAGGATTAATTTACATCTATTTCAAACCATTGCTGAAGTAAGCAACTATCATATGGACATAGTACTTGTCCCGCAAAATGTTTCTTAATTTCCAGCTCTTACTTAGGGTTACATTACATTACAAGGGGTGATCAAATATACAGCAAATGTTTAAATATTAAAAACTGTTACATTAAAAGACACATTGCTATTAATGCCTCCCAGAATACCCTTCCTTCAAATATACTTACCCATTATTATAGCCATTTCTGAAGAGATTCTGGATGTCCTCTTTCCTGAGTTTCTTTACAAGGTGTGATTAAAAAAACAAAAAACAAAAAGCAGGGCCAGGGATTTAGCTCAGTGGCACTGCACCTGCCTTGTAGGTACAAGGTCCTGACTTCAATCCCTGGTACTGCAAAAAAAAAAAAAAAAGCAGTGAAAGCTGTTCCCAACCACCATCCAATGGAATAGGCAGGCTCATAAAAACACTATGTTGTGTTCTCATCCACCTTACTCACTGGATCTGGATCTAGCACTGTGTGACTTCTGGCTATTCCTTAAAGTGAAATGACCATGAAAGGGAAAGGTTTTGAAATGGTTCAGAAGACCAAGGCAGCCACAATGCAACTAAAGATGCTCGTGAAAGAAAACTTCCAGCCAGGGATTTAGCTCAGTGGTTCCAGTGCCTGCCTCGCAAGCACAAGGTCCCAAGTTTAATCCCCGGTACCAAAAAAAAAGACTTCCAGAACTGCTTCAGAAAGTTCCAACCAATAAAACCAATAATGAGATTGATGTGTTCAAAGTGAGGGGAAATATTTTGAGGGAGATTAATGGCAAAGAATCTTTCACTATAATAAATTTTTTAAAAATTTAAACATTTTTTTTCAATTAAATTCCTTTTGGCTATGAAGAAGCAAACTTGAAAACATAGTGAACAATGTAAAATTATGTGTAATTTCACCATCTGTAATTTAGCCAACTTTGGTCTATGAAAAATTTTCATTTTTGAATACATGTATATGTAAATACATGTACCTAAATAAACTTGGATCATAGTGTATGTCCAGTTTTTATGGCTTCTTTTACTCTGTACACAGAACATTTTCCCATGTCATTAAAAATTACTTGAAATTATTTATAATGGCTGGGTAATATTCCTTTATAGTTCTTTCTCTTCTTGTGGTGGACCAGGGAAAAGGCCAGGAGATGACAGATCATGAAAGAAATGATAGTAGGAACTTGTACTTAGAAAAATAACCTGATTATTACAATGTTTTCCTAACTAAATGAACCCTCACCAAATAAAGCAGAATAAAAATTTGAGGAAGTTTGGAGTTATACTTTCAGTGGTGTTGAATATCAAAGAGCATCAACTATACCAAAGGAAAAAATTTCTTCTAAAAAGCCACCATGAGGGGCTGGGGATTTAGCTCAGTGGTTTTGCCGCCTGCTGCACAAGCCCAAGGACCCAAGTTCGATCCCCAGTACCAAAAAAAAAAAGCCACCATGAAGCTTATCAAAATATACCCCATCCATTCAAAGTCCAAAGGGGTATAGGTACATGCTTCAATTTCAGTGCACAGCCAGCAGCAAGCATAATAATGTGGTGGTAATGTTCTACTTTTTGTAATTATGCTTTGCAGTCAGGTTGACACTTTATTCACATTTTTTGAGTGTGTATTATCATCTACAAAGTGAACAGGCATCACAGTCATTGAGATCTGTCATCTATTACCACTTTGAGGGCTGAGATAATAAGGCCGATTTGTCCATTTAGTTTAGCATTCTCACAACTCTATGGATATTCTCTTAGAGTTGCTTAAATGATAAGTATAGAGCAAGCCTTTTGGGATCAGAACATTCCAAAGTTAAAAGGGAGCTGAGCTGGAAAACCTGTAATGCTACTTAAAGCCAAAGCAGAAGCATCAAATCCTTGATGTTAATTGGGAGCTGAAAAAATCAGGCATGTTGAATTTGAATATGATATAGTATATAATATTTCATAATGTATGTATAATGCTATTGTTATGAATTCCATTTCAATTGGACATTGAATAACCGTTATGGTTTTCTAGGGCTGCTGTAACAATTATCACAAACTGGGTGGGTCAGAGCAACAGAAATTTATTCTCTCAGTGTGGAGGCCAAAAATCTCAAAGTGCTAAAAGGGTCAGGCTCCTTCCATTGGATCTAGAAAGTTGCCTCTTACAGCTCCTATGGTTTCATGACTTAGGCTACATGACTCCAAGTCTCTGCTCCTGTGTTTAGATGGTCTCCCTCAATGGGTTTTCCCTTGTGTATCTGTGTCTCAAATTTCTCTGTTCTTTTCTCTTATAGAGACACCTGTCATTGGATTAGAGCTGAATTCAAGATGGCCATGTCTCAGAATTCTTAAATCTAGCTTATTCTTTTTCATAGATTTTTGCCTTTGGTGTTTTGGGTTTTTTTTTTTTTTTGGCACCGGGGATCGAACTCAGGACCTTGTGCTTGTGAGGCAGATGGTGGAACCACTGAGCTAAATCCCCAGCCTCAAAATTCTTACAGTTAATTGTATTTGGAAGGCCTTTTTTCCTCAATTAAGGTCACATTCACAGGTTTCAGCAGTTAGGGTAAGGCATACCTTTTGGAGGACAACTATTCATTCAGCTACCTTTGTATTCTACAAGATAAGAATATCCAGAGTAAACAAAATCAAAAGACTTAGAATCTCTAGGTGTTCTCAGTAATGAGGTTGAATTCATTTAAAGCAACGTACTACTTGCAAGAATATATGATGCAGGACATTTTTGTAAAACTTGCCTCCATTTTGGATTTCTTTCTACACAGGGAAAATTTAAGAAAATCCAACACTAATTTTTTAAAGCTCTCACATGGGTTCCAGATGTTGACCATTTAATCCAAGAAGGTGTTTTCCTTATTATACAAATGTGGAACACATCAAAAATTGGCATTGTTTAATTTATGACTCACACATGAACCGTTGTTTTTTGCGATGTAGTTATTTTAAGTAATTCATAAATTAAACAATGCCAATATTTTGGACCCATACCATACTTGTGTAATGAGGAAACACCTTCTTGGATTAAATGGTCAACATCTGGGATCCATGTGGGAATTTCTTTGAAATTTTAAATAAAGACAAAGTAGCATGGCATACAACTTAGCATGGCAATTCAGATATACAACTTGCTGGTAATCAAAAGATAGATGAACTTGGTACTACATAGTGGTTAGAAAATGTAGATGTTGTTGACAGAAACATCCAGTAATGTTTTTACATCTTTGAGGATGGGGTAAATGGAGATGTGGAATGAAATGTAATATGGGTAGTGTTGAATAAAGAATCAAAAATCAACTCGTGTTCTTTCTTAGTAGAAGTGTATGTTCTTAAAAACTTTCTGGAAGGCAACTTGGTAACACAAGCCCTCCCCCCGCATTTCTCTTTCTATATCAGAATTTATTTTTAGAGTAGGTATAGGTTCACAACAAAATTGACAGGAAGGTTTTGAGATTTCTCATAATCCTTTGACCCCTACACATGGCTTTCCCCATAATCAATATCTTGAACTAGAGTGGTATTTATTACGTGTGACAAACCCATTTTGACATATCATCATTGCACAAAGTCCATAGTGTAGATTAGGATTTACTCTTGTACATTTCAACAAATGTATAGTAACATACACATAAGTCTCATTGTCCTAAAAATATTCTCATATTTTTGATAGCAATATGGGATTGATTAAATCAATTTTAGCAAATTATATAATGAAAGCCTGTGCAGCCATCAAAAATAATATTGTATAGTAATATCTATTACAATGACCCATAATTTGTTAGGAAACAGATTACAAGATAATACGTTCATAATCTGTGTGTGTGTGTGTGTGTGTGTGTGTGTGGTGTGTGTGCATGCTCTGAGAGGTGTGTGCAGGTTTAGAGAAAAGGCTATACATATACCCATATATTAACTGTGGTCGTCTTTGGACAGTGAGATTAAAGATGCTTGCTTTATTTTCCATGTTCTCTCTTTCCCAAATAATTTACTGTAGCATATGTATGGTTATTTTTAAAATTAGAAAGCACACATTGTGACTTGAAAATCTCACAGATATCTTAATAGGCTCTTTTTTTACTTCAAATCTTTACCATAATTTCTTTGTTTCAGTAAATAGCAAAATAGGACAAGCAGTGGCTGAGTTCAGCAACATGAGAATCAGCTTGATTCTTTCCTGCCTCATTTCCCTGTGTTTAATTACTGAGTCTGTCTTTGTGCTCCCCTTAACATCTCTTCAGTCTGTTCCCTTCTGTCCATCCCATAGCCATTAATGTATTCCAGATTGTCACCCTCTCTTGCCAGTAATTCCTATTTCCTTTGCATTCCTTCTAGCTGACTTCCAATTCCTTCTCCAGGATTTAGTGACTCCTTCTAGTATGCATATCTAATTGTACTAGGGTTTTCCAGAGAGAAAGAATCAATCAGATATCTATATCTATGTATCTGTATCTACCTACCTATAAGGAGATTTGTGGGAATTGCTTCACCTGATGAATGGAGAAGTGTTCTGCTGTCTGTAGGCTGGAGAACCGGGAAATGACCTCATATTTTTTCTGTCTCCTTCCCCCATATAGTTTATCACAAACTATAGTTAGCTATAAAATATCAAGCATTTCTTCTCCATATTACATGAACCCTTTCTTCCATTTCAAGCCATCCTTTCTCACCTGAAATGACCTAACTTGTCTCCTTATTGCCAATCAAAGAAGAGACTAGCAGTAGTCTATACTTCACATAGATTGCTGAATGTTCCCAGGGGATTGGGCAGAATTTCCCTAGCTTGATAACCTTGAAACATAGATGATTGTGGCGTTCCCTTTCTACTTTTCTGCATCTTATTAAATTCATTTGACAGCTATATGTTCTGCCAGGCTTTATGCTACACTATAGGAATATTATGGTGAACAAGGTAGATGTGATTATTGCCCACACAACCCATGTTCTATTTCAGTAACAGACAATCTGAATATAAATTATAATAAGCTTTGCAAGAGAAACAAAGTAAGGATGGGGCACACTTTGAGTAGTAACATTTCAGGTTCCTCCTGAAGGATGAGAAGAAATTAGATACGGTAGGAGATACTTCTCAGGTAGAAGAAAGATCATTGCAAATACTTTAAAGCAGAGGAGTGTACTAGTCTGAGGAACTGAGGAAAGACCTGAGGGAACACACACTGGTCAGCAAAGGGGAAGAGTGTGTAGAGTTGGGCAGGGGATGAGACAGTTCCATTTGTGTAAGGTAAGGGGTTTGGATCTTAACTCTTAAGTGAAATAGGAAACACTTGATGGATGAGAGAATAATATTACCATATTTTTATTAGTATATGATTGTGGTATATAATATTTACATTCATGTTGGGGAATCGCTATATATCTTGATCATTTTTTATTTAATTTTAATTTTAATATAATAAAGTAGATATTAATAAAGAAAATATTAAAGTAATTCTATGAAAAAATTACTTTTCATAACAAAAATGATAAGAGAATAACAATGGTATATACGCTGTGTTTCACGATATAAAAATAGTATATTTTCATTTGCTAATCTCTCAGCTCATTTCCTAATAATACTATACCTTTTTTTTTTTTGCTTAAAACATTATTATTCACAGAGTATCTCACATTCTGTATAATTTTGAACAGTTTCTTCCCATTTCACAATATTTTTTTGCTCTTTTTGGTCTTTATTTTCACTTTCAGTTTCTCATACCAGAGAGATGTGATATCTAAACAGTTTGACCCCTTCTTCTGTCTCTTCCCTTTTCCAAAGACCCCCTCCGTATCTCCAAAAAGTCTACCTACCTGTTTGCTCCATCTCTCCATTATTTTGCTCTTCTCATCTAAGAGAAATCATGCAATATTTAACTTTCTGCATCTCATTTACTTCACTTAGCATTTATGTTGTCAAGATGCATCCATTTTCCTACAAATGAGTCAAACTGTTTTTCTTTGTGGCTGAGTAATACTCCATTGTTTATAGGTACCACATTCACATTATCCATTCATCTCTTGATGGATCTACAAGTCATTTCTAAGGTTTAGCTATTATGAAGTATGATGCTATAAATATAGTTTTATATGTATCATTGTAATATTATTACTTTAACTCTTTTGAGAAGATACCCAGGAAAGATATAGCTAGGTCAAATGGAATTTCTAGTTTTTAGATTTTTGAGAAATATTCACACTGATTTCTATGGTGGTTGTGCTAGTATGTATTCCCACCAACAGTAAAGAAGGTTTCTTTTTCCCCTGACACCCTC